TATATATATATATATATATATATATATATATATATATTATATATATATATATATAAAAATATATATATATATATATATATAAAATACATATATATATAAAAATATATATATATATATATATATAAATATATATTATAAAATATATATAATAAAATATCATATATATTATATATATTATATATATATATATATATATATATATATAATATATTATATATATATATATATTTATATATATATATATATATATATATATATATATATATATATATATATATATATATATATATATGCTATGTATATATATAATTATATATCTCTCACACACGCACACACACACATTAATTTGCTCAACCACACTCTCTCTTTTACTTTTACTTAACCTCTTGACGCTGGGATGGCTTTGAATCCTAGTCAAATGAAATTTGAATTTGATAATTTTGTTTACGCAGATGCCACTAGAAGAGCTTAGTTACCAAAGAGTCACTTATTGACTACCTAATCTTAGCTAGATTTTTGGATTTATTTTATTACACTATTACTATTCTTAATAATGTTTTAAGAATCATAGTGCCAATAAAATAATAATAATAATAATAATAATAATAATAATAATATAATAAAATAATATAATAATAATAATAATAATAATAATAATAATAATAATAATAATAATAATAATAATAATAATAAATATAATAATATAATAATAATAACAACAACAACATTGGAATAAAGTATATTTTCAAGAAAATTCAAGTTTTGGTGTAATTAGGTGAGGTAAGATAAACCAACCAAATGACTCCTTGGTAACTAGGCACTTAAAAAACACTGGAGACAGTGCATGAAATCTATTTGAATAGGTTTGTCCACTTCATTATAACTCCAATCACTGTACATAAAGTTACCTAGGATACTTGGCTACCTGATCACTCTGACAATATGTACATTTGTCTGCAGAAGGATGTGGCTAATTATATTGGCAATGGTAATTATAATGACAATTATTATCATATTGTATTATGATGATAATAACTATAATAGTAATAATAATAATAATAATAATAATAATAATAATATAATAATAGAAGCAGTACTACTACTACTAGTGGTGGTGGTGGTGGTGATACTGCTACTAGTTGCACTACTACTACTACTACTAGTAGCAGTAGTAGTAATACTAGTAGTGGCACTACTAGTACTGCTACTGGTACACTACTACTACTATTACTACTAGTAGTAGTAGTACTACTACTACTACTACTAGTACTAGTACTACTACTAGTACTATACTAGTCTACTACTACTAGTACTAGTGCTACTACTACTACTAGTACTAGTACTAGTACTACTACTACTACTACTACTATTATTATCAACACTACCACTAATACCACCACCACTACTGCTACCACCACCATATCCACCACCACCACCACTACTAGTAGTAATAGTACAACAAAAGTAGCAATAATAATAATAGCACTGTGCATTTTTGATGGGTCTCCCCTGTTTCTTGTTTCTACTTAACCTCGATTGTGTATAAATCAACCACAATCACAGAAGGAGAAAAGGAGATAACTTCAGGCAGGTGCTTAGTCAAATATTTAGATACAACATTATACAGTTAATTCTCATATACACATAATGAAAACAAATACAATCTTAGCACCATTATGCAACTTCTTAGTGGCAGAACTGAAAGGATATGTACTGAAGAAAACACAAGTTATTACTGCTGAATCATTGTTTCTTTTCTGAATAAGAAAAATGAAATCCTAAATAAAATAGGCACTGGAATTAGGTGCTAAAGTAAAATGCAGACAGAGATATCAGTCTTTGTTTGGAATTTTCAGTAGATTTGTTAAGATGTATTTGATGTTGTGGAATTGGTTAAACACTAGCTGCTAAACTATGTTAGATTTCCTTTCATAGTTATTTCTCAAAATTTATTTAGGTTTGGCTGACTTTGGGTATATAATCAATGTAGACAACTTATGTCACATCATTTAAATTTCTAATTACCAATATATCTATGGCAATGAAACAGCAACCTGTATCAGTAAATATCACCAAATAAAATTAATAATAATGCAATAATACCCATTAGGCTTAAGTTCAGCATTATTAAAATGCAAAACAACTGGATCAGTGTAAAACAGCACAGTTAACTAAGGCATTTTGTTTGCAATAGATCCTGGAATATAGTATTCCATAAAACATTCAAAATTATTTCAAAACTTAATACTTCAAAATACTGATATGCAGATAGAAAAATAATAACAACAACAACAACAAATGCACACTATATATTTGAGCTTCTTGCTATGCAATTCATTTTGGCATTCATTCAACTACTGATATCTTCTTTTAAATACTTTAAGTATCATAAATATGCACATAAATAAAAGGATTCAGGCTGCTTTATTCTAAGATGTGTTAACAATAAACATCTGGGGAGTCAGCCACGCATTTCAAGTTGAAATAATTACATTAGTCAAGAGTCTGGTTTGATTTTCATCAGATTTCTTCAAGCTTTGAAAATTGCCAATTAATTTTTTGGGTAAACTCTCTTAATGGAAGCCCCAATGATAATAACTTTTCAGACCTATCTATCTACTGTATGAAAAATTGCAGGGAAAATATACAATTACTTGCAAACACAACACAGAAATAAAATGCAAGCTTGCACATTGGAAGTGATCAGTTAGCCATGATTTACCTTTGCTAACATGTACAAGCATGTTGTTATGTGAGGCCCCATATGCGAGAGGGGGTTAACCCCAAAATCTTAGGTTTGAGTAAATCGCATTCAAAGTTAATAACTTATTGCAATGAGTAAAGTAGTTGAATGTATTACTATTATGGATCAAAATAAAGGTCTAGGCTAGTTCCGTCATGCCATGTTATTAGATTTTTTTTCTTTTTTTTCTTTTTTTTTCTTAACAAGAATTAAAATTATTATATACAAAAAAAAATCCATTCCAATTTTTTCACAAGAAATTATTAAAGAAAATGAATGAGAAATACATAAAATTAATAAGAAAAAATGATAAGAAAATAAACCTAGGATTCAGTCATTTTTTCCTGTAATTTTTTTTTTCTTTATGAAAACATAATGCATTTTCATTGGCTTTCACATATATTTCAATAGTTAGTCTCACTGCATGGACACCAAAAACACCCAACTTTAGCCCTAAATTAACCCATCAGGAATATCTCTTATCCCTTGGCTGAAACTTCCACATGAATCTTTAATATCTTGTCTACAAGTTGGCACTTGTAACTCCAAACTGCCATTTTTATGGGTTATGCCCCTCTCACAGATGGGGGCTCATATGGACAAACCACACAGTGTACACTTGCAAAAAGCCTTCATACATTCAAATTTTTAAAACTTTTTATCAGCTCTCAGTAAGTGAGCCTCAAATATTGGTAGATGTACCCAGTTGTATATAACAAAGTATTTAAAAACTATAATAGGAACAAGCAAGTTAGGATACCTAAAAATAACAAGCAAAAATTGGGTGCAAGAAATGTGCTTATAAGAGGTGTCAACAAAAGTGGAGTATAAACTTATGCCTAACCCATATCATTGACTGTATGTGTTTGTATATTCCCATGAAAAGCAGTGAAATTTATATATAATGTATAATTTGATTTTACAACATGAAAATAGAAAACGGACAGAGAAAATAATTTGATACTTTAAAACTGTGTATGTGCACATGACTGTATATATAGTGTGTTTGGTTGTTAATATACAGTATATGTCCACTTATGCATTCTAGATTTTGTATGTATGCATACATACATATATACATGAATAAAGTAATATATACACAACTGTTTACTGCATTTACACAAGCATTCCTGCAAGCACCAAGTAGACATTCTTTATTTAAAAGAACAAAGCAACACATGCACATGTTAGAAAGGTCAGAAGGTGAACATCAATACTTTAAAATAAAATTTCCTTTTCAATCATACATAGTTTACTTTTATGTAAAAGTTGTCATCCAAAGATAGGGAGTAAGTGAGACAAGAGAAAGAGAGAAAAAATAAATACATTAAAATATAAATGAAAATCATAGATACACAAAGAATATTTACTTTTTGATATCTCTAACATCTTAACCTAGACATTTTCTGTATATCATCATAACCATTAAAATCTACTACAGTTACTCTCAATTTAATATTCAGTTTTATCCTCTCCTTTTAACCCATTTCCTGGTATAAACCAATCATACAAGATATAAATAAAAATATATTGCCTAAATCAATTCATCTAACTAATGGGTCACTAGTATCTGCCTAACTCCCCTAGCAAACTGATAAGCATTTAGGAATACAGTTTTAGAGTACAAAACATCATAAAACAATGTACATCAAACTGACATCAGCCATGTAGCAACAAATAAAAAGGGGCTTGTAAAAAGACATTATCCATCTGGCTGTGATGGATCAAACATGGAGATAGTGTCAGGCCTCCAGTAAATCCCTGATCCATGGTATACTAGAGTCCACACGTAAGGGATGAAAAACTCCTCTGGCTCACTCTCTTCGACATACTTGAATTTGAGCTCTGGGAACTTCTTAAGGCGGTCTTTGGGCAGGTGGAGAACACCTTGCTGGATGACTTCCTGATGGGGAAACAGAGATTACAAAATTGGACAGCAATTGCAGTTACAGATATATGTTTTACAAGAAGAATGAAGGACGAAGAAAGAAGAGGAGGAGGGCAATAGAAGGCGAAGGAAAAAAACTAAGGGAGTAAAAGTTGGAGTAAAAGTTGGAGGAGGAGGAGGAGGAAGGAGGAGGAGGAGGAGGAGGAGGAGGAGGAGGAGGAGGAGGAGGAGGAGGAGGAGGAGGGGAGGAGGAGGCGGCGGCGGCAGAGGAGGAGGAGGAGGAGGAGGCGGCAGAGGAGGAGGAGGAGGAGGCGGCAGAGGAGGAGGAGGAGGAGGCGGCAGAGGAGGAGTAGGAGGAGGAGGCGGCAGAGGAGGGAGGAGGAGGAGGCGGCAGAGGAGGAGGCGGCAGAGGAGGAGGAGGAGGAGGCGGCAGAGGAGGAGGAGGAGGAGGCGGCAGAGGAGGAGGAGGAGGCAGAGGAGAAGGAGGAGGAGGCGGCAGAGGAGGAGGAGGAGGAGGCGGCAGAGGAGGAGGAGGAGGAGGCGGCAGAGGAGGAGGAGGAGGAGGCAGCAGAGGAGGAGGAGGAGGAGGCGGCAGAGGAGAGGAGGAGAGGCAGAGAGGAGGAGAGAAGGAGGAGGAGGAGGAGGAGGAGGAGGAGACAGAGGAGGAGGAGGAGGAGGAGACAGAAGGAGGAGGAGGAGGAGGGGGGAGGAGACAGAGGAGGAGGAGGAGAGAAAGAGGAAGGAGGAGAAGAGGAGGAGGAGACAGAGGAGGAGGAGGAGGAGGAGGAGGAGGAGGAGGAGGAAAGGAGAGGAGAGGAAGAGGAGGAGGAGGAGGAAGGAGGAGGAGGAGGAGGAGGAGGAGGGGAGGAGGAGGAGGAGGAGGAGGAGTAGTAGTAGTAGTAGTAGTAGTAGTAGTAGTAGTAGTAGTAGTAGTAGTAGTAGTAGTAGTAGTAGTAGTAGTAGTAGTAGTAGTAGTAAGTAGTTAGTAGTAGTAGTAGTAATAGTAGTAGTAATAGTAGTAGTAATAGTAGTAGTAATAGTAGTAGTAATAGTAGTAAGTAATAGTAGTAGTAATAGTAGTAGTAATAGTAGTAGTAATAGTAGTTAAATAAAGTAAAGTAGTAGTAATAGTAGTAGTAATAGTAGCAGCAGCAGCAGCAGCAGCAGCAGATGATGATAATAATATAGTATAAATATAATTGACAAGTAGAAAGGCATAATCATACAGGCAAACACAATATACCTGAACATCCTGGACTCCTGGATCACGCTTGGTTGTCTCCAGGCGGCCCATGAGGTACGCTAATACAACATCAATATTCTGTGTCACATCCTGGAAATTGGGGTGTGTGGAGAAAGGCTGGAAGAGGTGTCGTTTGTACAGGAGAGTGTAGACCAGGTTGTGGTTGTGAGAGAGCTGATGAGTTAGCACCGAGTTCAGGATCTCCAGCACCATTCTCAGCACTTCTTCCAGCACACTTACATCACTTAGCTGCAAAGTCAGAAAAATGTGTTATTGCCACTTGATATATTACATACGGGGTGTATCTCAAATGTTTCATTAAAACATTCTTTTTGCATAGAGTTCTATTCCAGGCTCATTTTCAAGGTGGCTTATATGTATCTCAATAGAGAATAATCATCTCATCTGCAATTTACTGCTTGAACTAATAAGCACTAGAAACTAATTCTATTTCACCACCCTTACTGAGAATTCTTTTCCATTTGTAAGTAAAGTTTGTGCAAGAGCAGATACGCAGAAAAAATACATGAAAAAATAAACAAAGATTGTGAGTGAAAGCAATAAATTTAAAGAGCAAACTTATAACTCGTGGTTTCTAACGTTAGACTCTCTACCAACCGCAACATTCTGCAGCTTTCATACTCACTGCATCTGGCATATCACTGTCTGCCTCATCAAGAAGATCTTCTGTGTGCCTGAGAGACTCACAAAGCCGAGCATGTCTCTTGGCCAAAGTTTCAAAAAGGCTGACCAAACGCTGGCAAACATAAGGGTGGAGAGACCGAAACTGGCTTGACATATTAGCGAGGGCAGCTAGGCAATTTGTATGTAGATACTTGTCCTGAAAATTTTTAAATATTAGATTATTATTACTGACATGTGGATGCCAACAATTCTTCTACTTATGTAACCAAAAAATAATATACTTTTACACCAGCTCATTTCCTTCAGGTCCATAATATAACATATGTATCCTGAATGGATGTTACAAAACTTTATTCAATTAAATTATTCAATTATTCTTATTCAATTTCAACAAAAGTTTAAAAGAATAAACTTTAAATTAGAGTAGCATATGTTTTCATTTATCATTTTAGGAGTAAATGATTACTAGGCAGAGTTATACTCATGAAAAAATGTCCTTCAGCAACAGAAGAGTATAAATCCAACTTTACAGAAGTCTGATAATTTTTATATATTTACATACATACAGCTAGAAAGGGAATGGATATTAATTTTTAAGTACATACCTAAATAGATTATTTTAAGTAAGAGAAATGTATAACTTCAAGCATGTGAATAAATAGAAGAAAATATTTCAAAATATCATAAAAAGGGACAGCCAAGGAATCAAGATAAGACACTCCCCATGACCAAGAAGAACATGTTTTCATTCTGGGATAGCTGCTCAAAATTCCTAATTAAGATAAATGTGTAATCAAAGTTTCCTAATTAATTGGCTAAGACTGTTTAATAGTGTACCAAAAAATTATGAAAAACACAACGAAAATTAGACTGGTTGAATTCAGTACCCAATTAACCACAAACAAGTGACAGTGAAAGAACAAGGGCCATATCAAATTTTATCCTTCATCATTTTCAGCTATTACTAACTGAAAGATAGATGCTCTAGCATGAGCCACCAATAGGGCTCTTGGTTAACCCCTTGGATCTGGGTGCCCCACTGCCAGCAAGTGACCCAAAATTCAGACATTAGGCTTACTTGAGTGGCGACTCTCCTGGGTGTGTGGCTTCCCAGGAGCCAGTGCTCTTCCAGGCATAGCTCGCGAATGGTACTTCCACACTTTCACTGATGGAAATAATGCACGAGCCCCTTCTAAATGCCCACCAAGTCTAATCACCCTGCAAGATCTTTGTACCCTCATGGCAAGGCATTCTTGTAACCCAAATATTCAAATCAATTTCCCATGGTGGCATGTTTCCTTTCAACCAATTTTTTTCATGACTGCATATTCACAACACCTGGCCTCAGCCAATTTTTTTCATGATATGATAGTTGCATCACCCAGATCCAAGTGATTAAACTTACACTAAGTAAAAACAAGTAACAAGTAACATACCCTCATTTTTGTCATATTATATGTTATGGTTCTGATGACCACTAGAATGAGGAGGCCACCCAGCGATATGTCACTGATCAGTCTTTCTGTGTACCAGGTGATATTCTTTAAGGGCTGAAAAAATATAGCATAAAAAATATATATACATATATAAAATGATCACCTACATCCAGAGATAATCTACATAACAAATACCTATATCTATATCAAGAGCAAAGAAAGGTTTGATTAGCAGAATTATAATAACTATTCAATCATAAAAATTATCTCAACCCCATTTTCCTGCTTTCTCTATCATTTGTTTTCAATTGTTTAACCTATATCAATTTAATTATTTGCAACAAGAATGAATACTTGACTATTACAGTAGTATGCAAGGCTAAAAGTATTCTTAAGAGAGCAAACTCATTGAATGTTCCCCTTATTACATTTAGCAATTTTTTTACTTCACTCCTCCATCATAAAGACAAATTCTACTTACAATATCATGTATAGTCTTGTTAAAGGAGTCGTCTTCTGACAAAATGAGCAGGATGATGAGAGACATGTAGATGTGATGTGAGGTGCTGTCTGGGGCATGATAGAGGGTATGCAAGATGGGAAGGACTAGGCTTTCCATGTCTGTTCTTGCCAAGACATAAGTGCGAAAGTCATCGTTCTTGTGAAGAAGGAGGTAGAGCAGTAGCGTGGTCTGGTCATCATGAAGGTGGGAATAAAGGGTCTTGTACAGAGTTGCAAATTCTAGCTTGAATGTTGCAACTGCCTGAGTTGGAGTGCTCTCAGCTGGATCTGCCATGGAAATAGTTATTAGCACTTATCACATAACAATGCATAAGTTAGCATTTGTTCTTTCACAAGGCCTATATGAAATATGGTTTTAGATTACTCATGAATTTATTTGTTTGTGTTTATCATACTGTTCATACTATTTAAGTAAACTATTTTGCAAATTGCTGTGGATTCTTATAATTTTTCTCAATCAACTTAGAATGCACATACCATGAAAATTCTGTGCATGTAACAACGCCTGGCGATATGGATTTCTGATATTTCTATCAGCTGTGCAGTGGTTGGCCAACACTAATAGTAGTAGCACACTTTGTGAAGCCAGGGGAGACTCTGGGCCCTTTTTTGTGGTGTCTTCTCCACTTCCAGCTAACCCCATTGTCAGCACATTCCACAGCCCTGCTGCAAAGGCAAATCATATTTCTTATAATCAACACATGATACATACAATTAACTTTACCAATAAAAAAATGCATATTCCCCTAATATCATCTTCACAAACTGTAGCACATACAGCTTCTTTTGAATATAGTGTAACATGTGTTTTTATCAATGATATGTATGACACATTTACAACCGTAATTATCAAAGAACACTGAAACAGACTGATCATGTTTTTTAGTTTAGAGATTTAATACCTACAAGCAAGTCCAAGAACAAGACTCCCCCCATCATCTTTGGCTGGTGGTTTGTCTTGTGCCATAAAACGTTTTAAAAGAGTTTTCACAAACAGACAAGCATGGATGGAAGCCCGGCCTGTCATTAACATTCTGCAAAGGCAATAAGAATAGATTATGTACAATTATATATACTTATAAACAACTATATACACCATTCTTTAAAACATCACAGCCATGGAACAAAGAGCATAAATATTCACCTGAATATCGACAGATGACAAACTTTTGATGATGTAAAAACAATTGATGAAGTGAGGATGAGGAGTGTTGTGGTGGCTTCATGATGAAGAGCATATGTTAAGTCTACCAAGGGAACATCCACAATCACCTCCACAAGGCTTGTCAGCAGGTCCTCAACAAGATTTGAATTGTCTTCTACCAGGCCATCTGAAAAAGAAAAATGTCATCTTTAGTCCTTTTCTTAGAGTAATACACATTTTGTCCTTGATGGTGTGCAGTATTATTGCTAATTTCAGCACTAGAGCATGGGGCATGCCTTAGTCTTTGTGCATTTTTAATGTAAAGGCATTTGTGTTTCAATTTTAAAATATACATTAATGCTGTGGCAAGCATGCCTAA